ATATAAAAGAAACTTAATGTTTATTACACAATCGTTATGCTGATATATCTTTTTCATATTATAATTTTATTTTTTCATTATTTTTGTATATTAGTATTTCCATTTTAAACTAAAACAATATTGTTCATTATCATTTAATTTTTATTATATTAAAATGTGTTGAATTAATATATTTAAATGAATGAGAATAAATGAACATAAAAAAGAAGTTTACTTTATTGTCCTATTATAGAATGTCTACAACTTATTAAATACTCAAAAACTAATATCATAATCATCTGCTGAATAAATTCAATAGATTATTGTTGTATTTTGATGTTCATTTTAACATTATTTGTATTATGAAATTATATACAAAGATATTTGACCATTTAAATACTGTTTGTATTTATTAGTTGTAATAAAGAAAAACTTAACTTGACTCTACACATTCATTGTTCGTGTCTTATCCTCATTTAAATGATGAAATGAAATTATAACTATTCTATTAACAAAATATAATTCAGTTAACATCATTTTATTTTCCAAATAATAATATCATAACAAGTAGAAGTAATAAAATATAAGAAATAAGTTTAATATGATAATATCAAGAATAATACTCAAAATAATCAAAGAAGATTATTCAAATAATAAATCATTATTCTTATTTATAACAAAAATAAAATAATCACTACATTATTAATTCTTTGTTCATGATGTTAAATAATGAAATGTCAAATTACTAATTTAAAGAGAGTAAGATAAAAATTAAGAGTGTAGAGAAGAGAAATAAATCCATAATATTTTTGGAAAAAAAGTAATTTTAAGTTTCTATTGACATTTTTATGATAGATGAACGTAAAATGTTTACTCCAATACAATTATTTGGAAGAGAAATTGATGAAAAGTTTAACACAAACAATGTTCAAAAACACTTTCAAAAAGTGATTGAATGTTATCACAAAAAAGAAATACAAACATTTAATGATTTCTTTTATGCACTATCAGTGATACTACCTCGTTCTACTATTGGAAGTTTTAAACAAATGATACGAAGCCTTGACTTACCACAACTTGGAAAGATACCTGTAATAAATAAATTTTTTCGAGATGTTTCTTTAATAGATCCACAATCAGGAACAAAAGTAGGAAATGTTTTAAGTAAAATGAATCCAACAACTAATCCTGAAAGTATCATTAAAGTAGCTGAATTATCACTAGGCAAAAAGGAAGAAAATTTTCAAGAATTTAAGAATGTACTTGAAAAGGTGTGTAACTCAAAACCAAGTGCTTTTGTTATTCAACATTTTGGGGGAGATGGTTTTGGAATATTTATAGATGAAGATGAAACAGGAAATGGGTTTGTTGAAGGGAGAATTGAAGAAAGAAATGAAAAGATGGAGGACTGTGATGAGAATGAACTAGAAAGAAAAAGTGAAGCAGAGAGATTGATCAGAGAAGCCTTTTCTGATGGAGAAGAAAAGTTAGAAAAAGAAGTGACTCATATGACATCTAAGCAAACACCTGTCATTGAAAATCAAAATAGTTTATCAAAACAAATTGTCCAAGAACAAAGTAATGAAGCTGGTATTATCAATTCAACCAATACTTTTGCTCATGAAAATGAAGAAAAAACAAAAGAACAAGAGAATAAAAGCCAAATTGGAAAGAAAGAAGAAAGTCCTACTTCTAAACCATTCTCTTTAAATACAATAATTCAAGAAAAAGAACAAGAACAAACACAACAAGCATTAGACAAAATAATTAAAGAAATACAAACTAAAATAATGAAAGGATATGTTTTAGAGAAGAATGAAACAAATGAAAGACTGCTGAAAGAACTATCACAATTAATTCATTTTAATTTATAAAAAGAAACGTTTGTTTAATAAAGTTGAAGTAGTTGTTGTCAATAACTTTAATAAAACATTTAATTAATAAAATTATTTATTACATCTTTAATAGGATATTTTATATTGACAATTTTACTATTTTGTTTTTAATCATATACGAAATTGTTATTAAAAAAAAGTGTTACATATTAGTTTAAGCTAGTGATGTGTTATAGACAACTAAAGTTTTTTTAAGTAAATAAGAGAAATGAAAATAATAATTTTTTTTTTTGAGTAAATACAAACACATTATTCTTTACAGTTCAATAAATGAAAGTAAAATGAGAATAATACAAACAAAATAATCACAAATTTATCATTTATTTAAAAAATAAAAAAAAGAAATATAAAACAAAATTTGAAATAACAAAATACAGCGATTACTTAAAAACCAAGAATTTGTTGAATTGTAAAGTCGTTTCTACTCAAGAGAATATCATCGTCATTATTAAAAAGAGAACATATAAATGAATTAATTTCTTGTCCTTTATCAAGAATCTGTTTAGTGTGAAAGAAATCTTTAATATAAAATATATTTTTATCAACATGAATCTTTCCTTTACTTGAATGAACTAAATAATTTTTCATTTCAACTGCATCCAATAAAATATTTAATGTTTCTCTTATTAAATTCTTTTCAAACCTCCTTTCTACACTAGATATTTGAATACCATTTAAAAGGTCTGAATCATATATTTCATTACACCTATTGTCTACATATTCAGCTAATGGAATTTCATCATTTTCTGTAGCAATTGATATAATTCTAAAAAATGGATATTCCTTCATTTTATTAAGTTTAGGTTTTTCAATTCGAATATCATAAAATTTATTCAATACTCCAATATAGAAACTTTGTAAACTTGAGTCATCTTCTTTTCCTTTTCTTTTCCAAAGATTTTCATTGATGACTTTAGGTGACTTAGATTGCATAATGAATAAGATCTAAAAAAGAAGAAACTTTTATTATTTTCATTTTGAAAACAAATCATAATTTTGTTGTTTTTTACAAAAACAAAAACGATTTTATTTTTTATTTTTTTCTATTTTTAGCATATAGTCTTTTTTAGGAATTTATTACTTTTATTTTCTTTTAATAGAAATTTTTAGAACCAATAAAGTATTTATTTTTGTGAATCTCTTATATTATATATGGAATTTATTAAAAAGTTATATTTAGAAGAATGTATTAATTCATTTATTCTTCTGAAAACAATATTATTTTGTTTTTTCTAATAGAAATAAATTAAAATCAAATCAATGGGTTTTCTAATTATATAAATATCAAAAATAGATTTATTTAATCAATAAAATATAAAATTTTAAGTATGTTTCATTTTCTTTTAAAAAATGGTTTAAAAACAAACAAAAATGCAACAAATTATTATTTTTTTTTTTGATATTTAAATATATTATAAAATGAAATTATTGTCTTTCTCTTTAAAAGAGGTATTTAATTTGATGTCTTCTAATATATACCATTTATCTTTAACAATTTTGTTTATAATATCAGAACATTGTTTTGACTGTTTATCATTTGAACAAATAACTTCTAATGTTTTATTTGTTTTAGTATCTTTAACTATCAATTGACGTTTATTGTAAGAACAAATTATATTTTGATTAATTGGATATTCAGTAAAAGAATATTGAATAGTTCCAATTTTTAAAGAACATAAAAGAATATCATTACAAATAAGAAGTGTGTATTTCTTTTTATCTTTTGTTTCAATTTTACATTTATTAAATAATAGTCTATTAAAAATAAAATATTCTATTTTATCACGTTTTTGTAATTCATATTGTAATTTATCTCTAAAACTAGTACATTCATCAATTAATAATGAAAAATTATGATATTTATGATATACTTCTTTTAAACGATTATAATCTGGATTCTTTATTGGTGTATTTTTTAATAATTCTAATATTAAAATAGGATATCTCATTGTTCTTTGAACTGGTTGAATTAATAATTGTTCTAATTCTTGATGACCTAACTCTGGTTGGTCTTTATTTGTATTGATTAAGTCTTTTACACATTTCAAGGTTTTAATTTGTTCCCATACATTAGCTCCCGTGTTATAATTAATAGTAAATTTTAATAACGATGATGCAAATATATAACACTCTTCTAAAACATTAGAAATTACTACTTCTGAATCATATTTATCTAATACCTTTCTTAAACAAATACTAATTCTCATTGAACTAATACAAACTTTATCATAAAATTCATTAAAAATATAATTTATTAATTCTTTCTTAATTAATCCATTATTAACAAATTCATTTAGAGGATTTATAAAATATTTATTGATAAGTTGTAAATTTTTGTATAATTTCTCTTCTGTTTCAGTTAATTCTTTAAACACTCTCTTTCTTTTAATAAGTAATTTTGCTTTATATTTATTTCTAACTAATAATCCTCTTAAATATGATTGAAGCAAAATAATTCTCTTATCGTTATTCTCAAGTACTTTTTGTGTTTGTTTTATAGTGAATGATAATTTAGGAGAAAGAAGTAATGGTGGTTGTTTTACTATTATTTCTTTATTTTTGAGTTTTGGACTTATTAAAGGAAATAACCTTATTTCATCTTCAGTCATTTGTTTTTGTTCTATATTTTCAAATAACAATGTAATTGCTCTTGGCCTATTCTTTTTCAGCTCAAGCATTTTTACTTTCTTTTTTATAGATTTATTTTGTTCACATCTTTTTAACTCTAAACACTGAGGTAATGTTGCTTTATCTTCTTCAATCAAATTATCATATTTTCTGCTTTTTATAAAACTATTTAGTTGTCTAATATTTTTTTTAAATGAGAGATTATCTTTACTTGTTGGTAATAACATTTGTTCATAAGAAGTCATTCTTCTTTTAGGTTGTTCACTTTTAATCATTTTATTATTTATTTGGTTTTCTTCTTGTGAGTGTCTTTTTTCTTCTTCCTTATTCTGGTTTATTGATGAGAGATATTTGAGGGTTAATCCCTTACCTGTTAATCTTCTTATGTTTGGAAGTGAGAACCTTAATTTTTTCTTTACTACATCTTTTTTTTCTGTTATTAATTTATTACTCATTCCTTCTTTTTGAGAAGTTATACCTTCTAATTCATTTAAAGATGATTTTATTGGTAATAAAGGTAATGATAATGACCTCCCATTTTTTCTTGTGTTACAAGAATTATTAAGGTTATTTCTTTCAATCGTTTTACTTTCTCTACACCATTCAGTAATTCGTGAAATAATTTTAGGTGTTCTAAAATTCTGTGGATTTTCTCCAGTTAGTTCAAAGAGTGTTTTTGTAATTAACATCTTTTCCTCATTAGAGACTTGACTTTTAATGATAGCATTAACAACATCATTATTAATGATTTTAAGGAATGTTTTCATAAAGTTTATTTGTTGTTTTTCTTCTATTTGTAAATATTTAAAAATATCTAATGGAGGAATTTGATATTTGACTAATATAGCTGCTATTTCAAATGTTTGTTGTTTAGTAAGTTCGTATATTGCTAAAGGATAATCTAAAATATACTTCATAACTACTTCAATTTCTTTATATTCAAAACTTGTTCCATTGAAATTGATTTCAATATCACTACTAATAGGGGTTGAATAACATATTAGAGAAGATAATGTTGATTTCTTAAACTTAGGATTACTCAGAACGTTTATAGGGAATGAAATTCTATCTGTTTTAGAATATAGAATAATCAAGTAATTCATATAAAGTTAATTTAATAATTCTAGTTTCTGTTTTAAAATATTTGTTTTTAAGCTAATCACAACATTTATTTCATTCAAATTTTATAAATTAAAATTTGTATATATTCCAAGACTTATTTGATTTGATATATCTTCTTTGGTTTTTATATTTTTGTTATTATTGGTAAGAAAAATGACAACTACCATAAAGGTTTATTGTTATTGAGTATATTTTATGTTAGTTTAAGAACGTTATTGAATAAAGAATTTATATAATTTCCATCAACTGAGTTTTATTTAAAAAGAATGATTTTAAATCGTTAGTTATTTCTAAAATATAATTTATTATTATTTTTAATATAATAATAAATTAATTCAAAAACAAGTCTTTTTTTTAATTAAACAAAGAGTTTTTAAATATTTTATAAACAAAGAAATATGATTGTCATTGAAATAAGAAGTTTTTTAATTAGTAAAATGAAAGTGAATATACAACTGTATCTAAAAGTAAACGTAAGATAAACACTTGACTATTTCAAAGAAAAAATAAAAAAAACCATTTTCAATTAATTTTCATAATCATTAAATCTTCTAATATCTTGTAGTTGTGGATGATCCTCATTTAATGATTTAGCCATGTATGGACCATCTAAAGTATAACCAAATTTTCTATAATAATGTCGTACCCCAACACCAGAAATAATAACAATTTTATCACTTCCATGTTCTTCTCTAGCAATTCGTTCAGCCTCTTGAATAAGTAAAGCACCATAACCCATGTGTTGGAATTGATTTAAATTCTTAGTATTAACTGGAATAGAAGTACCATAGACATGTAATTCTCTTATGATGGATGTTTTTCCTTTAAGTTCTGGCATAAACTTTTCATTAGTTGGAAGTCTAAGTCTTAATAATCCAATCAATAAATCATTTTCTGGGTCTTCATATGATAAGAATGTTTCCCATCCATCAGAACCAACATAATCTCTTCTTATTAATTCGATATCTTTTACACATTTGACTTTCTTTCCTGGTTTACCTTGTAGAGCAGCTATACCAACTTCTCTAGTTCTAGTATCTCTACATGGCCAATTATTAGCATCCATTTGACGTTGAACGTATTCTCTTAAATTACCTTTATCAGCACCAGCTGAAACTAATGGAATTGGAATATCTCTTTGAATACGATGTACTCTTACCCAAGGTGGAATTAATGCAAGAATACGTGAAAGGACATCAATAGTTTCTTCAGAAGTATATGAATGGTAATGTCCTTTTCTCCACATTTCATATAAACGAGTTCCACGAATAACAAGACATGGATATAGTTTTAATCCATCACATTGATATGCCCCATCACTAAACATTTCACTATATGTAAAAACATCTCTTTCAGGTGGTACACCTGGAAGATTTGGCATCATATGAGTAACAATCTTATATCCTGCATCTTTTAATCTCTTATAACACCCAATACAATCTTGAACAGTATGACCTCTATTACATTCTTTGCAAATATCTTCAAAAATTGATTGCAATCCAATTTCTAAACGTGTTGTTCCATATCTAAACATTTCTCTTATATGATCCTCTGAACAACAATCAGGCCGTGTTTCAATAGTTAAAGCAACACATTTTACTTTAGAATTTTCTCCATAATGTACTGCCTCTTCAACAGTAGATGAAACATGTCCTGATAATGCATCAAATAATCCAAGAATGAAAGAGTCTCTATAATGTTTATCCATAGAAAGGAATGTACCTCCCATAATAATATACTCAACTTTTTCAACGCTATGACCAAGTTTTTGAAGTTGTTCTACTCTTGATCTTGATTGAATATATGGATTGTATCTTGCACGAACAGCACGCATAGAAGTTGGTTCATAACCAGTATAAGATTGTGTAGAATATTCAAAATCAGAATCACATCCACCAGGACAATAAACACATGAATCACCATTAGTTCTAATGTTTGGACAACGATGTGGTTTACACATTACAGCAATAGCAACAATACCAGAAGCCGTACGAACAGGTTTTGATTTAACAATAGGAAGAAGAAATGGACGATGAGAATCAGGAATAGCAGCGATAATATCAACTTGTTTAGGTGCAGTATGTAAATTATGTTTTTGAGCCATTTGAGACTTTAATTTATTTAAATTAATTTCTTCACCTTTTTCATATAAATCAATCATTACTTGAACAATTTCATTAATACATGCAACAAATTGAACAGAATTTCTTCCATACTTAGCAGGACCTTTACGACCTCTTATAACGTTAGATTTCATTTAATTGAATTTGTTAGTTTTTGACTGTTAAAATTTTTATGAAAAATAAACGGAAGGGTTTTTATCTTTTTACTATTTTTCTCTTTTGAGGTTTTTAAAAAGGGACATTTGATGGTTTTATTTTATTCTTAACAGAAAAATAAGACTCAAACAAATTAATTTAATAATTGATATATATTAATTCAATTATATGATTTATAAATTAGTTGTACTATACATAAATATACTTCAACAAATTTATAATCACTTCTTATAGCTTGTCTGTATAAACTATACAATAGAAGTTGTACGTTTAAGTTAACAAGCATTTACTTTGTTAGTTCGTAAGGAACTAACAAAGTAAAGGGTTAAATAGAAGGGTAAAAATAATATAAAACAATTTGTTAGTAATAACACAATTTTACTAACAAATAAATTTTTTGATTTATTTTTTATTTTTTTTTTTAATAAAAAAGGAAGAACTTAAAAGAGTAGAAAGTAAAATGATTATTTTAATAATATTACTTGCTCTTCTCTCTTCATCTAAAATGGTTGTTGATGTTTTATCTTTTAGAGAACCTATAGAACCAGAAAATGTTGTTAGAAATTATGATATGAAAGGACCAATTATAGTATTTGAAAATTATGTACAAATTACTCCAAATGGTATTGGAAAAAGTTCAATAATGAATGGGAAATATAAAGTAGATTTACCAAGTTTTGAATTACAATTAAAATTGAATATTATTTGTAAAGAAAAATGTGGAGGAGGGATGGGAGTATGGTTGACTGAAGAAAAATTAAAAGAAGGAGATTTATTTGGAGCATATAATATTTATAAAGGAATTGGAATATTTATCAATTTTGAAGATGTAGACATTCCTATGATATCAGTACTAAAAAATGATGGAGTTGATATATTAAAATATAAACCAGAAATGTATTATCAATGCTCTGTAGCTAATATACAAAAAGATAAAGATGGAGCTGTTTTGAGAATTAAATACTTAGTTAATGAAAAAAAACTTATTATTGAAATTATGGTTAATCATATTAATATGGATTGTATTACTATTGAAGATATTGATATTCCTCCATTCTATCTTGGAATATCTGCTACAAATGGAGGAAGTGGTTCAACAAGTTATAGAGTTCAGTCTTTACATTATTATGAAGTTGGTAATAAAGAAAGAAAAGAAGTACATTTAAACAATGTTGTAGAAAATGAACAAATAAATGATACTCCAGAAACAAAAGCAGAGCAAGCAAGTAATAGAATTAAAGAAAGAAAACAAAATAATATTAATAAAGAAAAACAACGTGAAAATGAACGAATTGAAAATCTTCAAAAATTAGAGGAAGCTAATAAACGTTTAAATGAAAATGATCATCTCACTGAAGAGAATAAGAAAGAAGAAACACAAAACATAAAATTGAATAACTCTTTAAATGAAGAAGAAGAAATGAAAGAACAAATAACAATAGAAGAAGATAAAAAACAAGAAGAAATAAAAGATCAACAAATTATTGAGGAACAAAAAAAACAAGAAGAAATAGTTCAAAAACAAGAACATATGAAAGAATTAAAACGAATAAGAATTCAAGATGGATTGTATAAAATTTATAAGGCTATTGCACCAATGAAAAATGCCTTAGATAAAGTTGCTCAAGTTAAAAAAGATGATGAATTATTAAAATTATTTGATGGAATTGTTGTAGATGAAAATAATAAAGCTAAAAACCAGTTAAAAGAAATTTTAGATCAAATAGAATTAGGTAAAGTATCAAATAATGTTTTTGGGGTTCGTTCTGATTTAGTTCAAGTTAAAGTATTATTTTCAGGTGTTCAACAGAGCTCTTGGAAAATAGTTTGGATAGTTTTATTAATATCTCTTATTTTAGCAGCATACTTTGCATTTAAATTATCTATGGTAAAGAAAATAAATCATTATGATTAAAAAAACTAATTATCCTTTTGCTTTTATAACAAAATAAAAGCAACAATTATTCAAACAAAATCAAAAATACAATTAAAATTGTATCAATCCATAATGACTTTATTTAATCAAATCTAATATGCTTAGGATCATTTTTTGTTTCAGTCTTATTTTCATTAAAAGATCGTTTAAATCCTCCTTTTCTATTATCCTTTCTTGGCTCTGGACATTCTCTACTCATATGACCTGGTTTACCACAATTGAAACAAACATTATCTCCTCCTTGTTTACCTTTGTATGTATGTTGTTTTCCTGTTTTATTACTTGATCCAAATGCACCGAATTTTCCTCCATTATTATCTTTATCACCACCTTTCTTTCCATCAGCTAAGTCTAAAAAGAGAGGTCTACCATCAACCTCTTCACCTTGATGTTCTTCAACAAACTTATTAGCAGCTTCTAAGTCAACAAAATCAAGATAACCAAATCCTCTTGATTTTCCTGTTTCTTTATTAGTAATAACACGAGTTTTGACTGGTCCACTAGAAGCAAAATATTGATACATATCATTAGTTGCCCATCCATATGGAATATTCTTTACAAAGACACTAACTAATTTAACATCCTCAACTGGGATAAATTCTTTTGTTTCATTATCTTTCTTTTCTTCTTTCTTTTCTTTTTCTTCTTCACTTTGATTTTCTTCCTTTTCTTCTTCACTGTGACTTTCATCTTCTTTTTCTTCTTTACTATGTTCTTCTTCCATTTTAGACTCCTCCTTCTTTTCTTCTTCCTCTTCTTTCTTTTCTTCTTCTTCTTTCTTTGAGTGATGGTGATGTTTATGCTCTTTCTTTTCTTTTTTGTCCTTCTTATGTTTCTTTTCTTTCTTTTCTTTTTTGTCTTTCTTCTCCTTCTTCTCTTTCTTTTCTTTTTTGTCTTTCTTATCTTTCTTATCTTTCTTTTCAACTTCTTCTTTAACTTCTTCTTTAACTTCTTCACTTTCAATACTCTTTTCTTCAGAGCTAGACATGTTAGTTTTTATTTGAAGAGATGAAGATTTTCTTTTTGAATGTATAGGGTTGAATAATGCAGGGTTGTTTAAAAAAGATTTTATTCATTTTTCAATCTAACATGAAGCATCTAAAAGAACGATAAGTAGGGTTAATCGTCTTTAATAAAAGAAAAATAAAAACATAGAACTACTTTAAAAAAAGAAAAGAGAAATAGTGATAAATAATGAAGAAACAAAATACAAGTTAAAATGTAATTTGAGATGAAGCTGATGAAATTGGAGGGGAGTTAACAATTTTATTTTCTACAATTTTGTCATACTTTTTTGATAAACTAGATGGAGTGTATTGAAGAATTAACTGAACACAAACCTCTAGTTGGGTAAGAAAATAATCATTTTCAGAAGTTAAATCGAAGCAACATTTTCTTATAAAAGAGATATTAGAATATAACATAGGTGGTTGACATTGAACGATAAGATATGTTAATATTTCCAATATTTCATCACAACTCATTTGCAAAGTAATATTATTATGATAAATGATATTTCTAAAACATTTATTAATAGAATTTAATTTTTCAGTTGGAGTTTTAAAATTATTAATTTCTATTAATAAATCTTTTGATCTATTCCAATTTTGTTCGTTTATAATTTTTTGAGAGACTTGATATTTAGATATTGGTATTTTTTGCATAAGAATGATTTGTTTGATTAAACGAACATCTGTTTCTATTTCTTCATTTGTTGCAAATATATTTTCATATAACTCTTCCATAATAATATATTCTACACATAGTTTTTGTTCTTCAAATGTAAAGGGAGATTCATTTAATGACAAGTTATACAAAATTGTTTGGTATAATGACTTTACAACTTTCTCTACTTCTTCACTTTCAATACATTGCTCTGTACTAAACCATTTTTTAAATTGTTTAATAGATTTTATATCGTCTTGGTGTTGTTCAAGATATTTTTTGAATTTATGTATAAGTAATTCTAACCCCATCTCAAATAATGATTTTTTTATAGTTTTTTTTTATTTATTCTTTTTAGATTTTTTTATTTGTTTTCAGTTTATTCAATATTATTCTGTAGAGTAATTTTATTTTGTAAATTATATATTTAGAAATACTTCTTTAACAAATTCCTATAAAAATAGAGTCAACCCATTTAATATCTTTTTACGTTGTGTCATACTTTTTTAAGTTATTTGTTTTGTTTGAATCATATTAAACTACAATAAGAAATAAAAATTCAATTAATTTGATTTTTATAACTAATAAATTTTGAATAAAAGAATATGTTTCTTTGTTAATATAATTATAATTATCTTAGAAATATCAATTCTTTTTTTTTTAATGTAATACTTTTGATTATTTAAATTAGTCATTATTATTATACATTTTTAGTATCAAACTTTGTATTGAGCTGTTTTCATTTTTAAATTAATTTTTATATTCTTTATATTTTTCTCATTAAACAATTTGTTTTAGAATAATGTCTCCAGTTTCTTTTTCTTATTGGAAGGTTTTTAATTTCTAACTTTAACTAACAATTAATACTCCTTATTTTTATCTTAAGAACAAACTTTTAGTCATTTTCTTCTTTTGGTTATATTTAATCTACTTAAAGGTTTTTAAATTTAAATGTAGAATTTAAATAATAAATTGGTTAATACCACTAAGTTGATTATTTTTATTAAACTTAATATAGTATAACTTTAATAAATGATTATAATAAAGTACAATAAAGCATTAAAGTATTCCAGAACATTAACCTCTGTTGTTTTATGAAAAACAAGATGATATTGAGTTTAATAAAAATGTCAAGATATTCTTCATATTCTATAAATAGAATATTCAATACTTTAGCAAAATAACTTTCAAGTAAGCTCAATTAACTCCTTGAATAGACTTAAAGATTATATATTTTTAAGAAATTAGTTTTAAATGAATGAAAATTCAAAAGTAAAAAAGAATATTTAAAGTAACAAAGAAAAATAAGTTGTAATAAATATATAAAAACAAAAGAAAAATGAAAGATTCAAATAATTAAGAAATAACTAAGAATCATATAGATACTAAGAATTATTTAAAATAATATATTAGGTTTGAAAGGTAAGTTTAAATTAATATATATATTTATATTTATCTATATAATTTATTTTTAAATAAATGAACAATACATAATAAAAATAACAGAGAGGTTTTGGTATTGAAGAAATAATTATAACAAAAAAGAATATTATATCTTTTATTTACTTGTTAAACATTAAGATATGTTTTTAATCACCATTTTAAATTTATTTCAAATTAATATAAACCAAATCTTTTGAATTGTTTTACTTATACAGTCTATTTAAATCATTTCCAATATACTACTAAGAGAGAGTCTAACTTTATTGGGCTTAATAAATTCTTTGATGTAAATGGATTAATAGTATTTGGAGAAACATCATAAATTTGTTTAAATCCTTGATGGATATATGCTGTCCCATCTGAAAGAACCCAGAAAGCAGAAAAACAAGTAAATACAAAACGTTTATCTGAATTTGGATGAATATCTATTGTTCTTATACAATTTTCTTTTCTATAAATTGGATTATTTGTATAATTATTATATCCAAATAAGAAGAAATCATCTGTACTTTCTGCTTTTACAGTATATTCATTTGAAAAAGGAAGTGGCTCTTTTTGGAAACATCCAAAGATATCTGAGTCTTCTGTCATAACAATAATCATAATATTACCTTTACCACAAATAGCATTATTAAATGTTTCTGCACAAAGTTTATCTGTTTTTGAATTATATAATATTTTTGGAATTTTTAATGTTGTCACTTTTTTGAACTTATCAATATCACCATCACCATCATTAATCAATAATGATAAATTAAAAAGACCTTCACTTTGAAAATCAGTTTTCATTTTTATTTCTGGGTTATTACTTTCACTCATTGATCGTTTCTTTTTGTTATGACTTAATGCTATTAACTGTGAATCACTTGCCTCACTAATTAATGGTTTGCATTTAGTTTCATCTTCTTTAGTATATTTAATAATTATTTTAGGAATTGACTTTGTTTCTTGAACCTTTTCTTTCTTTTTTTCAGTTTCTATTTCATTAGCATTTAGTATCTTAGAAGTAAACTTAGATTCTTCTTTTTTTGCTTGTTTAATAATATCGTCTTCAGGCATTGACGTTGATTTCCTATGAGAACTTTTCTTTTTTATATCTTTAGTATTTTGGTCAGTTTTAGGAGTAATAGCATCTTGAGTATTCTTACATTGTTGATTTCCCATTAAGAATTAGTCAATTAGGTTATTCTAAGTTTTTTTATCATTTTTTATGAAACATTTTTACAATACCAATTTTTTTTAATTTTTACTATTGTGTTTTTCTTTTTCTGTTTTTCTACCATTAAACATTTTAATTCTCTGATTTTTATTCTTATATATGAAACCACGTCACTCAATTACTCAAAAAAAAGTATAAATTTGGTGAATAATGGAATGAGTTCCGCAATTACCTATTTCTACCTATCAACATTGTTATGAGAAGTACAGAACGTTCTTTATCTATTTTTTATTAAATAATTCTTAAAAATAGATTTTTTATTTTTCAGAAAGAGTAAGCAAAGATCTTACATCAAACATATCACTCATTTCATTCCAAATGAGAGGGATTTATATTTTGTTTTTTATTCAATCATTAGCCTTTAACATACACGAACAACATATCGAATTTCCTTTAACTGGAGATTGGTCAATGTCTTCTCCTTTTCCTTTTCTTACACAAACTACTGGTAAAATACAAGCATTTCCTCCAAGGGTTTTAAACGTTACAGAAGAGGGTAGTATTATTGAATGTCATATTCAAATTACTGATGGCAAGTATGGTCAAGATGACATTTTAGAATTTACTTCATTTTTATTAATAAAGAAAAATCAAACTTCTTCTCATGGGTATTTGGTTTCAAAAGTTATTACTCCTACCCCTATAAGAATTA